TTAAGGTGGAGATTACCTTTTCTGTTAAGCTATTTCTTTCCAAATCTTTGAGCCTGGGGAAGAAAAGAAGAAACGCTGATTAAGTAAGTTTTTTTTATAACTTACAAGAATACAGGGGAAGGGGAAGCCTTGGGAAACAGGGAGATTTGGCTTGGGGGCAGTGGTGGAAGAAACTGGAAGTGGAAAGTGAGCCAGGCTGCACAACTTGAAGAAGGTAACTCATGTTACTGAATTGTGTATATTAACAGCGCAGTTAATCAACTCTGAAAGTAAGTTTAATATATAGGTTGTCAGCTGCCATCAAGTCAGCCCCAAGTCATAGCAACCCCACGTGTTACAGGATAGAACTGCTCCATAGGCTTTCTTGGCTGTAATCCTTGAGGAAACAGATTACCAAGTCATCCGTGCTTGGAGTCTCTGGGGGCGTTCAGACCACTAACCTTTAGGTTGGCAGCCGATGCAAAATGCTGTATCACCAGGCTGCTTTTAGACATACGTTAGCAAGAAAAAAACAAAGGTGACTGTTTTTCTCTCTCCAGTATCTAGAACATCCTATAGTAATGCCTCTATACTAAGAAGTCATCTGTGATCCAAAAGAGGACCAGGCATGGTAGTAAGTAGCAGCCACCGCTGTGAGTGGCCAGGGCAGTTTTGCTGTTTACTCTTGCCCTCTGGAGAGACCGGCCTGGAAGGGCTCCTGATGACAGCTCTGAGTCTATGTTGGTGCTGGATGGGAGGGTACAGTGATGAAGGAGGCTCCTCCCCCTCCATCCACCCAGAGCTCACCCAACTGGTTAGACCTGTTCTTACCCCACTGCCCTCAGTAAGCACCCAGACAAGGAGCCCCAGCCTCTCCACTCACCTCCTTCTCCCTGATTTGTTTCCCCCTCCCTCTCAAAAAGGCATCCACTACTCTTTAGTAAGCAAATGATTTTCCAGCCAAACTCAGGTCAGTTCTGTACTTCTGAACAATAAAAAATCCACTACCATCGAGTCCATACCAACTCATAGAGACCCTATTTATTTCTAGGGGTACACACTCTCTGGTTAGATGCCAATCAACTTTTTAAATTTCCTCTCTGCCTCTCCTGCACATAGCCCTGTGACTGGGTATGAGTGGCACCAGGCAGAGACCTCCTGACTGTCTGTAGAAGACATTTCATATCCTGCAGATACAGTGGTAACGCTGGAGAATGTAGATTCCAACACATTCAGATTTCCAGGATCCCACAGAGCCCCATCCAGGTAAGATTCATGCCACCCTGGCAGTAACTCAGCTTCTGGGACAGCTTACTGTCAGAGGCACAGGGGCTGCTGATGGGGTGTGACCCCTGGAATCTCAGTCATTCTACTCATAAATTATGGCTGGACACAGCTCCTCCCGTGACCAGCTGGATAGTCGGTCCCTTCATGCCCAGAAGATACCAAACTACAAAGCCCAGAGAGGTGCCCTGTCCAGAATGCTGATCACTCCAATGGGTAGGCACATGGCAGATTTGTGGCTGGGAGTCTTCTCAACGCTTCCTATGACTGGCACATAGTCTGACAAAATGAGACCCAAAGAAGTCTTCATAATACCTAGGCTAGCTTGCCTGATGGAGACTGGATCCGACCTGCCTGGCCCAGAACCAAAGGTCGGAGCGCAGGTCAGACCCAGAAGTGCTGAAGTGCTGACAGGAAGGAGGAGTCTTGCCACTGTGCTTCTCCTCCCCGAAGCCCTCGTAAAACTGAAGCTGACACCACCTCAGATGGGCTTTCTCTGCATCACCAGGAGTAGAGTACTCAGGAACAACCGCCATATGATAAGAGATGTCAGTCTTAGGTCCCTTCCAGCCTGCCCAAGAGTCATTCCTGGTTCTTTCCTGAGAGTGCCTCTTATAAGGGAGAGAAGATAAACATAATAAATGACCGAGGAAGACAAATACCCTTCTAATCTAAGGGAAGAAAACGGATGCCGGGAAAGAGGGTTCCAGACAGCTGAGAGCTTGAGGAACTGGGCAGAGGGGGCCCCAACAGGAGCACCACAGCAGGGAAGGGGTTCAGAGTACAGCCAGGAAACCACCCCCCACTTGCTGACATACAGAGTAAGAAGGGCTGATCTATGGCCTGACAACCCAGCCTGAAAGAGACCAGTCCTGTCAGGTGGGCTGTCAGTCTGAGGAAGGTCAGGGATGTCAGGTTAAAAGTCAATTTCCTTCCAAAGTAACACATCATCCAAGGAGTCCCAGAGGAGATGGGAGCCATGATATCAATGACATGCTTTAGGAACATTAGATGTGGGAAAAATGTACACCAGAGACTGCATAAACCACCCCCCCCCCCATTATTGTTGAGTGGACTTCGACGCAGAGCCAGCAAGCCTATAGAGCAGGAGGAGGCTTTCCAAGGCTACAAATCTTTATGGAAGCAGACGTCCACATTTCTCCCAAGCCACCTGTTGTTGTTGTTGTTGTTGTTAGGTGCCATCAAGTTGATTCCGACTCAGAGAGAATTCTGCACAACAGAATGAAACACTGCCCATTGCTGCGCCCACCTTACAATCACTGTTATACCTAAGCCCATTGCTAATGCCACTGTGCTAATCCATTTTGTTGGGGGTCTCCCTCTTCTTCACTGACCCTCCACTTTACCAAGCACAATGTCCAACCTGAGGAGCTCACCTTCCAGCACTATATCTGACAATATTCCAGTGTTATTTATCCTGTTTCAATATTCAATATTCTGGTGCTATCTGACAGTGCTGCGCTGCCATGCATAAGGTTTTCAGTGACTAAACATTTGGAAGTGGTCCACCTCCCCTTCCTCCTGGTCGGTCTTAGTCTGGAAGTTCAGCTGAAACCTATCCACCATGGGTGACCTATCGGCATTCAAAATACCGGTGGCATAGCTTATAGCATCACAACAACACACAAGTCACCACAGTAGGACAAACTAACAGACAAGTGGTGGAAGGAGTTGCTAGTGGGTTCAAACTGGTAACCTTTCAATTAGCAGCTGAGTGATTTAACCATTGCAACACCATGATTCCTCATAGACTGCTTAGGAAGAGACTTCAGAACGTTCAATGACTCTATCATTCCTCATCCAAGCTGTTGGTCTGAAGTGTGGTTATAGCAACAGGAGTGGAGACCATGCAAGAGAAGTTACCTGAGGCTGGCTGAATGAATGGTGAGTAAAGTAGGTAGACACTAACCCCCAGAGATGCCCAGGCCCTAATCATATGGGAATATGTGACCTTACTTGGCATATGGGACTTTGCAGCTGTAATTAAAGTGGCAGCCCTTGAGATGGGAGATTATCCTGGATTACCCAGTGGGCCCAACCTAATCACCTGAGTCCAAAGAGCAGAACCTTCCCAGTTACAATTCCAGATGCGATAGAAAGCTCTGAGCACCACTGTCAGGTCTGAAAATGGCGGAGGAGAGGAGCCACAAGTCCAGGGACTTAGTGGCCTGGAGGAGTCCATGTGTAGCACTGTAAAATTAAGCACTGGACTGATAATCACAAAGTCAAAGATTCAAGCCCAACAGCCATTGGTTCTAAATACCCTATACAGGATCGCTATGAGTCAACGACCCTTAACAAGGAACTAGGAATAGCCGTCAGCTTACATTCAGCCAGAAAAGGGGCCCTCTGTCCTATAATCGCTAAGGACAGAATTGGGCCAACAATTGGCAGGAGCAGAAAACAGATTCTCCCTCCCCTAGCGCCTCTAGCAAGGCTGCCAACTGACACCTTGATCTGAATCCAGTGACTTTAGTACTGGACCTCTGACCCACAAAACTACAAGGAGCTTCAAAATTTTTGTGGAAAAAAAATTCCGTTCTCTTCTAATTCTATTCCCGTGAACTTTTTGAAGGCCCTCATATAAGATGGAGTCCTGGTGTGGTACTGTGGGATAAGCACTGGACTGTTAACTATAAGGTTAGTGATTCCATGCTGCTCCTTGGAAACCCTATACAGGGTCACTAAGAATCAGAACACAATGAACGTATGCTGTTTTGCTTTAATCCATCAAGTCTGTGGTCATTTGTTACTTATACAGGAAGCTGTGACTCTCAGACTTTGTGGGGAGAGAAAGGAGACCAGGCAGAACCAGAGTTTCAGGATTGATGAGTCCTGGTTGGTTCACAGTAGCTAGCTAGAAGGCCCACCGGCAGCTAGAAATCAGGACTGGCTCCAAACTAGAGGTGGCCATTTCCAGCTAGTAGCCCAATGGCCGAGACTAAAAGTTCCAGGAATAAAAGACAGGAGGAAAGTTTTCAGGAAAGAAAGAGTCCTCCTGGTAGTACATAGCATCACCCAAGCCAAGGATCCAAAGATGTAACAAGTGAGATACTAAGAGGATAGGAAGCTATCTAGCTCCAACCTTAAGCGACAAGCATTTAATTCAAGATTAGGAACAAGAGCTTGGGATGTCACCGAAGCAGTAAGTTCAGAATGTGCTATAAGTCAAGCAGAGAGAAGGACTTACTACCACCAAGAGAGAGGGCCATGGGTGGAGGGCGTCCTTTGGACCTGGGGTCCCTGCACTGAGAAACTGCTAGATCGGGGAGACTGACGCCGAGACCCGTGAAGCTCTCCCAGGAATGCCAGGTATACAGATGCTGAAAGGAGACGGGGACCTTTCCCCAGAGCTCACAGAGAAGGGAAGCCTTCCCCTAGAGCTGGCATTCTTGAATTTAGACTCCTAGCTTTCTAAACTGTGAGAGGAAAAAAAATGGGATGCGCAGCGGACATTTATTTACCTCAATTCCACACAGCACACATCGCCACATTAAAATATGCCTCAGTGTCAGAATTGTCCACTTGTACTTTAAACAATCTTCCCCTGATGGGCAACCAAATGTGGTAACTGGCGAGGGTGCGACCCTAACTCCTTTCAACCTGCCAGTGCAGAAAGCCTTCACAACAGCACTGGGGAGCTGACTCCAATCCCATTTTACAGATGAAGACACCAAGCCACCCATAGGTTAGATCACTTGGTCACACAGCCGGTAAGTGGAACCAGGTGGTTTAGAACTCAAGCTGGTGGTGGGTGCCATCGAGCTGGTTCCAACGCATAGTGACCCTATGTGTAAAAGAACGGAAGACAGCCCAATCCTAGGCCATTCTCAGTGTTGTTTATGTTTGAGCCTGTTTTTGCTGCCACTGTGTCAATCCATCTTATGGGGGTCTTCCTCTTTCACTGACCCTCCACTTTGTATAAACTCAAGTAGTCTGACCAAACCCCACAACAGGGGAGCAGTTCTAGAAAAGAAATCCCTCTGCCCCTTTCAATACCTACTGGGTCAGGAGCATGGAAGTAATCTCATCACAGAATAAACAGCAGATAAGAAAGTTGTGATCGCCATGAAGGCTAAGCAAAGTGGTACTAAGAAGGTGGTTAGCATCAGTATGGAAAACCAGGCTTTATAAAAAGGGAAATCCGTTTTATATAAAAATGTTGGAGAGGCTGCTGAAGCCCAGGCTGCAGATGTAATGAAGAAGGCAAACACAGTCTGACAACAGTCCATGAAATCATCACCCAGTCCAGGGTTGCAAAAGCAGCACGCTGGGTGTGCTGACAGAGCTCAAGCCTCTGCTTTGCTCGGGGGAGGGGAAGTCTTTCTGAGCAGTAGCCTTAAGGATGAATGGACAGGAGCCAGCTTGGGAGGGGGAGGCAAAGCCCCAGCCTCCAGCTACTCTCTCCACCAAGAACCTGGAAGGAGAAGGCCTGTGTGGCTCATGACAAGGCCTCCTGATGAGGTAGGCGAGTGGACATGAGTGGACAGGAGTGTGGGCTCAGCACCAAGTACACCAGGCAACTGAGGAAGTCTGAGGGTATGGGAGGGGGAGGAAAACCACCGGCTCCGACTTGTGTTTGAAGAAGATCCTGGTTTCCACACTCCAGAAACAGTCCTGAGTCAGGACAAGAGTGGCAGCAGGAAGACAAATAGGAGACAATTGCTATTTCTGGCTAGATGATGACGGCTTGGATAGAGTCAGAAAAACCAAGCGGAAAAATGTGGCTCGCCCTGAAAGGCAAGCAGAGTGTTATACTTGAAAAAGAAGCTATAGCCTTAGAAAGCCAAACATTAAAACTCTTTCTAGTATTATACATGGACTGAAGCGATATCCAAGTTTCACAAAAGGAAGCTGCCGTAGACACAAGTTAGCTGGAGTGACAGAAACGTCAAGAGCTGCATATTGAGGACCAGGCCTAAGTTAGCGCCTAGAATATTCTACTGAGTTCATGTACCTTTTACATTATAAATGATGCTTCTCCACTAATTTTTCTAACTCAAGAAGTTATGCCTCTATTTACAAATCTGTTTGTCGTGTGTGTGTGTGTGTGTGTGTGTGTGCACGTGTACGTACATGTGTGTACCATTTCAATTACCACCACATGGTCTAAAGGAAATGAGTCCTGGTGGCACTGTGGATTAAACATTAGGCTGCTAATAGCAAGGTCAACAGTTCAAATCCACCAGCCTCCCCCTGTAAAAGTTTATTCTGGGAAACCCTATGAAGCAGTCTGCTCTGTCCTATCAGGTGTCTATGAGTCAAAATCAACTTGATGGCAAAGGGATTTGGGGGAGGGAGGGTTGGCGCTAAAAGAGGCACCCCCAAACCCCATACCTACAATAGGCAAGTTCAAATTTACATGGAATCTAGGAAGAAGGGTGGATTGGAAGCATCACCTAAATCAAAACACCAAACCCAGTGCCACCAAGTCGACTATGACTCACAGCGAGTGCAAAGTAGAACTGCCCCCTAGGGTTTCCAAGGCTGTCAACTTTCTGGAAGCCAACTACCACATCATTCTCCCTGCATAGTGGCTGGTGGGTTCAAACTACAGACTGAACAGTTAGCCGTCAAGTGCTTAACCTCTACACCACCAGAGCTCACCTAAAGGTGTTGCAATTCAGCCAAACCAAACACTTGTGTGGGCCCAATAGAGCACCTGAGCTCATTCACAATCAAGCCCTAGTTGAGGAGAAAGACCCTGGTAAGAAGGAGGCCTTGGCAGGAATCCCAGCTTCCTAGCAGTGAACTTCCCCACGCGCCCACTCTTAAGAACTGTTGAGGATTAACTGAGATAACGTAAAGCATGTTAATTAATTAGTAACTGATTAGTAGAACTGAAAAAAAATGGAAGGCAAATTAGTCTATAACAATGGTAAACCTCGGAGCCTTTACATGGCAGGTATGTGCTCATTTAGTCCAATGCCAGTTTAAAATCCACGTTTATTCAACCTTGCTCACAATTGCAGAGGCAGTATAAGCTTGCCCAAGGCCACATACAACTCAGTGGGGGTTAAGTTCTCCCTCTCAGGGTAAATAACCAAATCAACCCTTGATATCAAGTCCATTCCGAGTCACAGCAACTCTATAGGGCAGAGAACTGTCCCAGAAGGTTTCCAAAGGTCAATGGGACCTGGTGTAGCACTGTGGGTTAATGCACTGGACTGCAAGGTCAGCGGGTCAAGCTCATCAGCTGTTCCTCAGAAATCCTATACAGGGTCGCTATGGGTCGGAATCGACTCCAGGCACTTAACAAACCACAAGGATGGTATTCAAACTCGCCAACTCCTCGGGAGAAACATGAGGCGGTCTGCTTCAATAAAATTCACAGCCTTAGAAAACTACAGCGCATTTCCACTCTGCCCTAAAGGGTTGCTAAGTTGAAATCAACTGCGCAGTCCTAGGTATAGGGATATAAGTTAAGCGGCTGGTGGGTTTGAACACCCCTTATGGTTAAGCAGCCCACTGGGCCTTGAAAACCCTACGGGACAGTTCTACCCTGTCCTATAGGATTGTTGAGTTGGAAATCGACTCGATGGCAGTGGGTATAAGGAGATAATCTTTCTGGGAGCAGACTCCTGATGAGCAGCTGGTGGGCTCAAACCAACAACCATTAGCGTTTACAGCTGGATACTTTAACCACTGTGCTTCCAGGACTCCTACGGTAAATCAAACTTCTCTTGATTGGGTTCAAATTTCTTTTGATGAAGTGAAGTTAGCTTCCTAATTCTCCTTTCCGTTTTGAATCATGTTAGATCTTGGGAGAGAGGGGGAGCCTATGGCTTCTTCCCACAAGACTCATCCATCCCCTGGTTAAGTGTTTTGAGCCTCAGACTCGTGGTGCAGAAACTCAAGTTCCCCCCTAGGCCACCCCTAACAGCCCAAATCATAAGTGACCTGGTACAACTATAGACAGAAAAAACAAAGAGCCGGGAATAAGAGGAGTGGCAAGCCGAGGTTGACCAATGGGGTGGGAGGAAGTGTTCAGGTCTAGCCAGGGATCCTGGGTCTGCGTGCACACCTCACTTGGAACAAGTTTTCAGGAGTGAACTTGATGCCCTTCACCACCTGGAGGCCTGGGACCCGGAGCCCTGGGTCAAACGGTCATCCAGTACACCTGCCTACAAAAGTCCCGACTTCGGCATGAGGGCTCTAGCTGGGGGTCCGACATTAGCTGGGCCCTCACCCCCACCCCACCCTCAGTTTTCATTAGCAAGGCTTGACCGAACACATGTAGCTTTCACGTGCACCAGCAGAGTTTCTTCCAGAATCCAGCAGATGATGGCGAGAGCCCCCAAAGGAAGACAGGGCTCGCAAACCTGAGCCGGCCGCGCCCGGGTCCCGAGTGGCAACGTCCATCTAAGGAAGCCGCCATCGGGATGCGCAGCACGTGGGGGTCGTGGGGACGGCGGGAATCCCGCGGAGCCAGGTCGTCCCGACCCCCTTGATCGGGCCGGGCACCGGAAGTGGAGGCCGGAGTGCCAGGGCCCAGGAGTGTCCCGAGGCTGCATACTGCCCACTTCCTGCCCAAGCAGGCTGGCAGCAGAAGGTCAGGCCGAGGAGGCTTAGGAAAGGGGACCCCCGAGGCAAACTCAAAGCTTGCTCTACATGATTGTTTGAAAAGAACCCGAGTTCCTAGTCACAAGGGAAGTGCGAGGGGGCCTCAGCCCATTTTGGCGCCAAATGGCCAGGGGCGCGCGCGACCGGAAGTGCCACCCTACCCGCGCCAACCGCCGCCGCGCCAACCCGCGCATGCGCGCCCGCCTGTCAGCGGCGGAGCCGGGCCACCCCGAAGGGCAGCGATCCCCCCCATGCTGTGCCGCCCCCACCCCCCACTCTGAGTGCGCGGTCTTCCAAAGGCACTTACCGCCTGCGGACATCGTCGGGCAGTGAGATGGCCGGGGAGGCCACCGCGGGCACCCGGGCCGGAGCGGTTCGGGCGGGCATCTCGGAGAATGCAGTTGAGGCGGCGGCAGCGGCGCGGGCGGCCCCGGCTTTTCGCGCGGAAACCGACGGGGAGGGGCGGCGAACGGAGGCGGCGCGTACCACCCAGACCCGGACGCGGGGGAAGGCGGGATATACCAAGCGGAGAAAGGCCTTAACATGTGCGTGTGGACTGAGTGCTGCGGCCTGTGTGCAGGGACGCGCATGCGCGAGGCTGATGCGCACCCCCGCGCCGAACAGTGGGTTCACCCAAGCTCCGCCGGTTTGCAGAGGAGGGGGCACCTACCCGAGACATTCATTCATTCAATCTTTTGGGCATGTTAAGGATGAAGCAGAGGCCAGCCTCAGGGGGTTACGAGCGTGTGGCCTCTTGAGTTAAAGCCCTCAGTTCCAATCTTACCTCCACCTACTTGCTCACTGTACGACCTTGGGCAAGCCACTTGACTCAGCCTCAGTTTCCTCGTCTTTACGACAGGATAAATAGCACCTAATTTAGAAAATTCTTAGGATTTACAGAGGGTGTAGCTAGCACCAAGAACTTTGGCTTGCAGGGAAGCACAAGGCCCGTGTGTATAAACAGTACCAGAATGGGCTTAAAAATAGTTGGTATCTGTTTTACATTTTTGCAGTTAAAACGTGAATGCAAAAATCATAAGAAAATATGAAAACTAATTTTTGAAAAAAAGAATGCATGCACACACACACAACAGCTGAGAGGTGGGGGGGGGCGGGGGAGACGAGAGTGTCCTTAGCTAAAAGTGGACCTTACACTGACTCTGGGTACTGTAGGTTACCATGCATGACAGGACCATGAGAAGTGATACTATTGTTAAGTACCGTGGAGTCGGTTCGAGGAGCAGCTGGTGAGTTTGAAGCACCGACCTTGTGGTTCAAACCGACCTTGTGGTCCAGTGCATTATCCTACAGCGCCTCACCAGGACTCCGATAATATTAGTAAAGACTGCTTTTTACCTGAACCTCCTGGTGTGGCGCTGTAGGATAAAGCACTGAGCTGCAAACCACAAGGTCAGTGGTTCAAACCCAGCAGTTCCTCCACAGAAATCCTGTACAGGATCGCAGTCAGAATTGACTCGACAGTATTTAACAACAACAACTTAATATTTAATTGGTACTTACATATTGTACTAGAGCCTTTGGAGAAATGATTTACTCCTTAACAATCATAAGAGGAAGTATTCAGACCCCATTTCCCATGGCCTAGGATATTTGTCACAAAAGGCCATATCTCAGAGGCCCCTTATCCAAAATCAAAGACTTAGTAAGCTTGGGGACCATTAGCCCAGGTGTCTTTAATGCCAGAGGCTAAATGCAAAATGGTGCCCTCCAGGGTTGACCAGAGACCACAGGGACAGCGCTGTGAGAACTGGACAGAGAGGGTGGCAGAGTAAAGCTCAGACCCCATAGACCTGTCAGAACCCAGCATTCAAGCACCCCATCTTAGGAAAAGTGTTGATCCCACAGCCAGGGAGCAAATAGGAAGGCCTGCTGGCCAGGAAGCTCTCCTCAAGGGAGAGCTGCTTTGGTTGGGCACTTCACCTGTTCAGGTTGATCTTCTTTGATTACAAAGAAAATTGAATCTCTGATTAGCCTTGGTCAACCTTTTGAAGAAGAGATGACTCGACCCATTTCACACATGGGGCAAGAGCGCAGGCACATTAAAAACCAAACAAACACAAACATGTCTCTCCAAGGACAAGCCGGTGCCAGATCTGGGCTTCCAGCCCAGCTGGTCTGCTCCCAAGTTTTTCAGACCAAACAGCCAGATACCATCTCTCATTCCTCTCACATGGAAAACATGGACTCCTACTCCTACAACCCAATCTTTCTTTCTGTTTACCCTCTCTGCTGCCATCACAGTGCTCCTCCCTGGGCCCAGTCATCCCCAGAGAGCCCTTTCACATCACAACCAGAGGCCTTTTCGAAAAATCAAATCACGATAGGCCATTCTCCTCACCCTACCCTAACACCTACCAAAACGTCCTATTGCCCTTGAAATAAAATCTCAGCATTTTACCCCATTACAGGGTTCTGCCTGGATGAATCTCCTCCTCCACTCCCCAAACTCCCTCCTCTTTAACCATCTTTTTATTCTTCCAAACCTTTACTTGCCTCCAGGCTTTTGCTATCCTGTCACTCTGCCCAGACCAGTCTTCTGGGAGATTCACACAGTTCAAAAGTTGCCTTCCCACAAAGATGACCCCTGACCACCTGGAAGCAGTTTCTCAACCCCCAGTCATTCCAACTTATTACCATGCTTCTTCCCAACACTGACACCATCAGAGATTTTCCCAGTTACAACCTAAAAGAAGTGATGCATTTGAGTGATGGTGTTGAAGGAGAATATTGAAAGTACCATGAACCACCAAAAGAGCAAACAAATTTGTGTTGGAAAAAGTACAGTCAGAGTGCTCCTTGGAGGCCAGGACGGCTAGACTCTGTCTCTCATACTTTGGACATATTATCAGGAGGAACCAGTCCCTGGAGAAGGACATCATGCTTAATAAAGCGGAGGGAGAGTGAAAAAGGAGTCCCCCAGTGAGATGGATTGGCGCAGCAGCAGCAGCAATGGGTTCAAAGGGAGCAACAATTGTGAGGTGGGCCCCGGACCAGGCAGTGTTTCATTCTGTTGTGCATTGTGTGGCTGTGAGCCTGTGTTGACTCAATGACATTTAACAACGACCTATTCCATCAAACCAGAGCTTGGCAAACTTTTCTGTAAATGACCAGAGAGTAAACATTGTTTAGCATCGTGACCCACCTAGTCTGTGTCCTAACTCCTCAACTCTTGTCATTTTTAGCAAGTAAGTAGCTGGAGGAAATATACATCAGCAAATAAGCAGTTGAATAAATATTTTAGCAAGTAAGTAGCTAGAGGAAATATACATCAACAAATAAGCAATTGAATACATTTTTAATTATAAAAAAACAAGTGTAGATTTGGCCTGAGGCCCTTCGTGTGCTGCGGACCAAAGCACAGACTGGAGACTTCAAAGAACTGGGACCCTCTCTGCCATCTCTGCAGTTGAATCTCAAGGAATGAAAATATCAGTTGAATTTCTATGGATGGTGCCTGATGCACAATGAAAGAAACCCTGGTGGCACTATAGGACAAACACTGGACTGCTAACCCCAAGATGGGCAGTTCAAACCCACCAAAGGCTCTTCAGGAGAAAGAGAGGCTTTCTGCTCCCCATAAAGATTTACAGCCTCGGGAATCCTGTACAGGGTCTCTCTGAGTCCAAGTGATCTCACTGGTGGTGAGTTTGGTTTGGTTTGGTCTGGATGCAGGTGTTAGTAGGTAAGAAAGGTGTTCTCTCTATCACAAAAATGTAATTTCCATTTTACAAACTGAGGGAAACTGAGGCCCCCATCAGGTCAGGTTGCACACGCCCTGGTTTGTCCCCAGCCCCTGGGCCATCTGCTTTGCTCCACCCTCCTGACTAGTAGAAGTAGCAGACAAGGCAGTGGGGGAAGGGGCTGCTTTCGGGATTCTCCAGAAGGACAAGTTGGACCACCAGAAGGTCGCCTCCCCCCGCATCTAGAAATGGACACGTCCTGCGAGAAAGTGACTGAAGCCTCTAGAAGTAACCACTTTGGCTTCTGTGGGGGCACCCATTCCTTCTGCCTCCACTTCACCATCTCCAAAGTCGTGTCCCCAAACCTCTCCAAAGAAAGGCTGCAGCTCCCTGCCTCCCAGACCACATTCCAGCCTCCGGAGCAGCCAGAAGAGCTCATCCAAGGTCGGCAGCCCCAAAACAGAGCTGACCGAGGGAAGGCCTCGTGGCCTGAGCCATGGTTGGTCAAAAGGCCGGAGCTGAGTCACCCTGGATGCTGGAGGATTAGTCACAGTGCTGACCTCTTGTGCTTGGTGACAGGCCCAGCAGAGGCCTGGGCAACAGGAGCAGTAGCATTCAAGAGCTCCACAGGAGCACTTTTCTGCCACTCTCCCCATGGATCAAAGGTCGGAGGTTCAAACCCACCAGCCGAGCCACAGAAGCCAAGACCTACCAATTTGGTTCTGTAAATATGTAACCGAGCTTTGGCCACACTATAGGGTAAGCTCTGTACTGTTAAGGTATGAGGTCAACACTCCCGCCAGCTGTTCCATAGTAGAAAGATGAGGTTGCCAACGCTTGTAAAGATTTACAGCCTAGGAAACCCTATACAAGGTCGCTCTGAGTCAAAATTAACTTGATGGCAGTGGGTTTGGTTTTGAGTGATAGCACATGTCTATATGCATGTTGTTGTTGTTGTTATGTGCCGTGGAGTGGGTTCTGACTCATAGCGACCCTGTACAGGGTTTCCAAGGCTGTAAATCTTTACGGGAGCAGAAAGCCTCCTCTTTCTCCCGCGAAACAGCTGGTAGTTTCGAACTGCTGTCCCTGAGGTTCACAGCTCGATTCGTAACCACTACGCTACCAGAGCTCCTTGTATATGTGCATATTTACCACAATAAACAATAACTTAGATAATTATGTATGTAACCATGCTGTTGTTATGTGCCGTAGAGTCAGTTTCAACTCATAGTGACCTTGTATAGGGTTTCCGAAGAGTGGCTGGTAAGTTTGAACCACCAACTATGTGGTTCAAACTGATCTAGTAGTCCAGTGCTTATCATATAGCACCATGCAAAGACTCCATATATATTATAGTTACTTTCCTACAATTTCATGTATAAACAAGTATGTATGTATAGTTACTTGGTTATACACAAAACTGTAGGAAAGACTTCAAGTAATTGGTTCCTGTAGTAACAAACATTCACTGGCAGGATGAACGACATGAACAGGAGAAGGAATCTTTTCTGACTATCCTTTTGCCTTTTAGAAGGTTGTATTTGACAAATCACATTGTCACATAGTCCAAACAACTAGCAGAGCACTGGGGAAAGGATAATGTCTTCAATAAATGGTGCTGGGTCCACTGGGTAACTATTGAGAAAACAGTGAACTCTGATCCCTTCCTCACACCAACACAAAACT